CACTTTTTTTAGCAGTCTTTATAATTTGTTCCATTCAACATCAGTGATCATGATATACCAATTGCAAGTTCATTCGAATGATGTCTTGCAATTGAAAAAAAATGAAGCAGTAAGGCAAATCCAACACGGAAAACTGGAGAATGAAAATAGCCAACGGTGGCAGTAATTAATGGATGAGAATGGATGAGATATTGTTTAATGGATGGATGAGATATTGTTTTGCAAATGTAGCATTTCCAAATGAATCTTTTAAATCACTTTCAATTGAATGATACAGTAATTCACTAGACTATATGACAGAAAATATCTATCTGTTCCCATTTTTCGGAGGGTTTCAGTGTAGAATTTGGATTTGTCCTTCAATATTGCTCAGGTGTGATCACAATTAACGGACTTTTTTGATGAAAAAATGTCAAATTGAATTTGAATAATGGAAGTCTTCGAACATTATCGCTGTATTTGATAAGACCACCATGCGAATCGGCATATGTTGTTTGAAACCATACTGTTAAGTGATAAACATTTGTACGGTTGAACTGCTGTTCTCCAGAGTCGAATAGTATCGCATAGCGATTCCAATCAACTTTTGGTATACCCAAGTTGATGGTTTCGTTTGTGTTACGGTTTTCGATAGTTGCATGCTACAACGATGATATGCTATTCAGCATACATAATGAATGTCAAACGTACGGTCAAACTTGTTTAGTGATGATCGTCATTCAGTTACACTAGCACTAGAATATTTGCAAGCATAATGACGATTCGTTTGTGATTAACGTTTTTAATTAGCTACGATGAACCGAACTTGGTCATTATCAATTAATAGAATATTAATATGAAAAGGAGTGTTTTCAAGCGACTACTGCCTCAGTTCTTCAGAAAGGATGCGTAAGCGTGAACATTAAAAAAGACATGCCTGTACATGTATGAAGAGAGGGTGAGCGTGCAGAATGATCTGTGAGGTGGACTGAACACACTGCATTTCGATTCGTACCTACAACTTATGCTGGTATGTTTATCGCATTAGTCACCGACATGACTTTGTAACAGTGCTGAATCTGAATATTTTCTACGAATGATTTACGTCCCCAAGCGATGATTACCAAAAATTATGAAATGAAATGAATCTATAGTTGACGATTGGAAAGAAACAAGCAAATTTCACTTGGAAATCATCAACCCTCCGTTGAACCAATTCGACATGATGAATTCATTTCACCTGACCGCAAATTGTCTCTCTGTCAGATGATAGTGAAAGTTTCAGATCATAAACAGTCGGCATGAAATGAGACGGTAAACGAAAATCGCTATCGAACCGCTCAACCGTTTTGTACGTTATACTTAAACCGATACAACCAACAAGCATGAGCACGGTGAACATGTTCTCACTTGTCATCGTTTCGCTGCCCATATTTCAACCTGAACTTTTAAATATTTCATGTTACATCAGCTTTTGTTTTCATGATTTTCAACTGTTTTTTGATAGGAATTTCAGTTTTTTTTCGTGGCGAAGACATTAAATCATATAGTGAAAAATGTATTCGGTTATTTCGAGTCAATGCTCAAATTTTGACTCGTACTGTTATGATACACTGAATAAATCGAATAAAGCTAAAAATTCAACTATATAACAATAATATTCACGAAAGCATTTTCAGGATGTATTCTTCCATGCGATCCATTAGCAATAAGAAGAAGATCTGTGGCGATGCGAAGAAGTTCGAAAATAGAAAAGGTAACAACTGAACGATTTGAAGGAATATAGTGCGTTTTTAAGTCGGACTGGTGAAACAAATAAGTCTGCACCGCAGCGAAATTGAAAAAAAAGAAAATTGCAAATAGCGCTTGGGAAAGGCTGAGGGATGCATTGAAAGAAGATAAAAATTTTCAGTTGAACNCGAAGAAGTTCGAAAATAGAAAAGGTAACAACTGAACGATTTGAAGGAATATAGTGCGTTTTTAAGTCGGACTGGTGTAACAAATAAGTCTGCATCGCAGCGAAATTGAAAAAAAAAAGAAAATTGCAAATAGCGCTTGGGAAAGGCTGAGGGATGCATTGAAAGAAGATAAAAATTTTCAGTTGAACAAACAAAATACCTCAAGCAAGGAGCAATTGTTGGAATTGAGAAACTGATGCAATACTCATGTAAGGACTGATAATCGGTTTTTGCAAGTGCAGTTGAACTGGGTTGTTGGTAACAAGCAATGACTGACTGGATGAAAGAAGTGTAGCAGAATGATTTATAGAATGATCATGCAGCATGTTTATCATCTGTGCTCTAGCAAAGCATGTGTCTGTATAAACAATATAGAGAAAGAGCTAAACAATACAACTTGATAAATAGATTAAAGGCATACCAAATAGCTACTGCAATCAGCAACCGCTCGTGTAAGTCACTACCATCATCGTTGATTGATATTAGTATCGTTAATTGTCTGTCAATCCATCGTGCTATTCGCATGACAGGTCAAGATGAAAACATAAGCTTCTCATGGTAATCGAACTGCATGAACTACATCCATTTTCAACACGACAAATCATGCCGAATTGTTGCGCATTTCTTACCGAATGACGATCGCTCGTAAGCACAATTGCGACATCACTTTTGCGAATACCTCCTACTAAAAATCCAATCCAACAACTTCAATCAGCTGATATTGCTCAACCGCAATTATTTACTGATCTACTTAATTATCTCATGTGAATGTTACCAAACAGTGATTAATCCCTCTATGGATTTTAAGGTCTCGAGAGGGAACTCTGAGGGTGTGTCAAATCAATGACTGATCATATACTGTGCTTCCTTTACAAATATCATATTGTTGAAAGAAGGGAAACAGCTGTGCACCAAATAGATAGTTGTTGCGACACGACCACTATGGCTACACATATCGAAATTGATCTTGAAAGGAGATGAACTAATTATATTATGCCATAAATCATTCCATGACGTCACATGCATGACTGGCCAGTTCGAATGTCTTTATGTGAACAACAATGCTATATGAAAGCGTTGAACCCACACGGCGCATAACCTCCTAGCACGAATAGATGCTGCATCGAAACATGCCTCATCTAGAGCTTGTCAAATCTTTCATTTTGAACATTCCACACTTGCTCTTAACATCCACATTTGAGTATTTCTCGTTGAAGTGGTGAAGTGGCAACCAGAAAAGCTCATTCCATGCTTCGCTCTCAAACGCGCTAAATGATATGGTGTGGGAGAGCCTACTGCCTTTCAGCGCATAGTTGAAAAGGCCGTTTGTGTTTTATCGAGAGTGACAGAAGTCTCTGTTGTCTTCAAAAAAAAAAAGAACATTACTTTCTCAACTATGTTGAGCCACTTTATATATCGGATACAGAACTTCAAGATCAATTCAGCCAGACTTCGAAAGTGAAATGCGCTAGAGAATGATAAAGTTCACACCAAAATGTTGTTACGCAAACTTTTTAATAGAATTTTATTGTCAACTTAGTGGCCTAACAACTATCATCTGATACGACTGCCTTATAGCTGATGATGGCACTGATGTTCCGTAATTATTACGAAACAAGTGAAATTTATTTCATAACACATTGCCGAGTAAATGAGAAAATTATTGAAACCGATACTTCGAAGAATTTCAAAATGCCCCAACAAACTAATCTGAAGAGCAGGAGTGGAGACTCACGATCTAGATGTGGTATGTAAAGCTGCATTATCATGAGAGGACACTGCACTCACGTATGCAAATGCGATAAGAATACAAGATTTGAAAACTTTTTCAACACCACAATAAAATCGTTAAAAGAATATCAAAATGACAAAAAGCAATGCGATTATTTCCTACAATACAACAGTGTAGGACAATAACAATAATGAAAACAAACGACGTTATTTTTATTTCAGCGATTCAACAGAAACAAATCACCATCTTTCAAACAATTTATTCAACAAAATCGTTCATTCCATTCGGCAATTCGTTCATTTTCACCACATTTCCATTCACTTTCGGCACACCTCTCCTAAGTGGACGTGACTGCTAAAGACGGCATTTTATTAAGTTTTGCATTCACCTGAAAATGACGACCGATCATTAAAAAATACGATACATTCAAAACTAACATGAAAACTGAAAAAAAAAATTTGAAAGAGTGATACTTCCGAAGATTCAAACTGACATCTTTCAACTTTTGAATATGTTTAACGAAATACTCTCCAATGCGACGAGCCACCTTCGTATCGGCAATTATGATCATATCCTACAAACGATATCTTTTCAAATTGTTGCAAATACTGCGACCATATTCACATACATGTTTACGCATGTAATTCACATTAAAAAGGCAAACTTTCGGTTTAGTTGAATGAATTACTAATAAAGGCAAAAGAAATGGGAACAAGTGTTTGACCTTAAGCGGTAACAGTGAAAATACTTGAACACGTAGTTTAAACTAGAAACTGTTCGAAATCAGTGAACGGTGCATCCCAAAGTGGGCGGAAAAACGCCAAAAGTATCTATGAATGAACTATTGCATAAAGTGTACTTCCAAATTGAGAGCCAGTGATAACATGACCTACTCAAGCATTAATATGCATTCTTCTCTGTTTGCGAACTAACCAAAAAGCATAGAAAACACTGCAGTGAAACGAGTGATTTTGACTGAATACATGATTAAGAACAGGAACATAATTATATCGAAAAGACATAACCGTAATGGAACACGAACCTTGTCAACGTAAAAGTCTAGATCTGTAGTTGAATCGTCAAGATCACTACTGTGCTCGTTGAATTCTTTGCCCAATTCAGTTACAATCATCTTGAACGTTAACAATTTTCCAATAAACGAGTCGTAATCACATTCTGAATTTTGTTTATCTTTACTAACAAACTTTTGAGACAAAGTAAAAAGTATAACGACGGAAAATATGTTCAAAATTTTTAAAGCAGATTCTCAAAAAAATGTTTTCGGTAGTATTTACTGGAGTGAAATGCACTCCAGTGAATACTACCGAAATCATTCATGGATATTAGCTGAGTGCGAGACATTGTTTCACATCTCAGATTTAATGAATGAACAAGTGCACTGTAAAACTGAGTTTATAAAAATGCATCACATCCAGTGAAAAAAGTGCTGATTGTGAATGTTGGAACAGATGATGATGTTCACCGGTCTCGAACGACTGCTATCGATGAATACTATCTGTCGATAATGATACATACCTGGAACATCCATGAAGCTGGCTAGTTTCTTGGTCGGAAGCGTTGTATAGAGCTTCAAATAGCCACGCAAGATCGGTAACATGATTTGAGACTCAATACCTTCAAGAAATGCGTTGCACTGTCGAACGAGCGGTTCCTGACGAGGTATTGAGATGATATATAGGTATCAATTAATAATGGAACGATTGAATGATGAGCAACAAAGTGAATCGCAAAAATGAGAAAAGACAAAGAGGAGCTTGATTATCCACCTTAGCTTGATTAATTCCTTCATAAACGACGGTCGTTGGAGAGAGAAACTTCGGACATCCTTGTTGAAATGCCATCCGGAACTCGTCAATATCACTGAATATTATCTGACTAAAGGTATATGAAGAAAGAACGTAAAACTGAACAAGTCTGTGCATATTTTGTATTGCCTGAGATATTCACTGAGACAGTTCTCTGTTTAAATCATAGCAACGAAAAAAAAACGATGAAGTTCTGATAATTAATTGAGATTATCAACACAACATAATAAATGAATTTATTAATGTGCACCGAAAATACTGATAAGAATAATAATTTGAAATGTCCAATGGAACAAAACTAAACGAACCCATTACTCATACGATTCATACGATCACCATTTTTTTCTAAAAGTTGTGACTGGATTGAATCGTCAATCCGTTGTGGTTGTAACGTTAAGCAGATCGCTAACAGATGATACAGTTGATCGTTCGTTTTGCCAATCTTCAAGTATTAACGATCAACTACCATCGCGACAGAAAATAATGTCTGATTAATGGAGTATCTTGAACGGTTGGCTCGCTGAATGTTTCATCAGGAATGAACTGGTGATTTCGGAATTATACGCTTTTGATACGTCGTGAATATGTTTTGAGAAATGAACATCGACGAATATCAACACACTACTATTAACAGCTATACATCACTAACCACATCGTACTGAAAATTTTTTTTCTGTTGTTGATGTTGTTGTTGTAGATTTTTTGTGCGTTGGATATAGAGCAGACAATTGACAAAGATCTTCGTTGCTTCACCGTAATTGCGCATCATCATATGTGAAAAACCGACGAAATAATGCAGCGTAACAAGACAAGACGGGACCGTATTGTAAAGACCCTTAAACAATGTGCAAGTTTTTAATCAATGAGCGGTTATAGATCGTTTCAGGTCGATTATTCAGTGCTAATATCGAAGTGTAGCGAATAAATAATCACTGAACGAATTTTGAAATGAACCAATTTCAACCTTTGGATCTAATTCCAAATTTTCGACCGTTTTCAGCGCTTGATGATAATCGCCTAACAAAACGTGAGTTCGTAAAAGGCCAATTAGTGAGAAATAGCCAAGTTTGAAATAGAGCGCCGATCGGCCAAACTCATCAGCAACATCATCTGGGTTTCCTATAAGACCGAAAAATAAATGATCAAATCCACGACGATATTATGGAAGTGTTTTTCTATTCAAGCCAATTACACAATTGAAAATAAATTGTTCACGACAGCAGAGTTCGCTCGAATTTGGGTTAATAAGTGAACAATATATATCAATAAGAAAGAATGAAATTTTTTTGAACGAACAAATGAATCAATTTGAAATTATTATCATAATAATGATCACGCAAATAAATCTGAAGGAAAAAAAACGATACTTCCTTCACGTATCGCCATCAGCTGAGCATCAATCTGTGACTTCGACAGCAGCGAATAAAGAATATTCAAAACTGGATAAATATTCCAAGCCTAAAATAACTAAGATCAAAAGCAACGAAAGAATTCAAATGAAACGGAAGCACAGCTGCTGCATCAAACAATAACAACAACAGAAATAAAACGAGAAAAGAAAATAATGAGAGTGACAATTGTTTTGCGAAAAGAATCACAAAATAACAACCAATGATACAAACACAAATCAGTATCAAATGGATTTAGTTGAAGCACATATTAAGCATAGGGTTTAAACACGCAACAATGAATAATGTTGCAAAAACTGAGATAGATACGATGATGACATCCTTCACAGAACTCTTAATATATTCATAATAGATTATTCAATTAAAGAAATTGAAAAAAAAAACCTTACACTTTGATTTTGTTCGATCGTATACAAATCGTCGTATTCTTCAGGACTTCTCTTACTCGGATTCGCTTTGTATAGACAGAATGCTTGGAACTGAAACAAGGCTTGTGAATAATCAAGATATATGCGTGGATGATGAATGATGTGTGTTTAAATGATCAGAGGTAATGAACTATTGATCAACGTTTCAGACGTCTGAATGTCCCACATAATCGCATCAGTTCATTTCATAAATTGAAAACATTGAAAAAATCATTATAAACGAAAACAAATAAGAGAGAAATGCCTTGGAATCACATTGATTATCGGTAATTTATAAGAACGATGTCGAACAAATATTCATCAATGCTGAAATATCCAAAAATCAATCGAAACTACTCACTTGGTACACAAACTCATCAATGATATCCCAAAGCCAGATATTCGGTAACTGCAACGAAAGCGGATGATCCAATTGTGTGAGAATCTCGCAGAAAAGTTCCTGGAATTAATACTGTAGTGGCGACAACTGCCGATAGTATTATTGAGGGAATTGTCAACAGAAACCAAATCGGCTCAGACGGCAATATCAGCGCTGACCTCAGAATTGGGCTGAAGCTTATCTCACGGCATGTACGGTCTATTCTCCTATTGGTTTGGAATGATACGCTGATTTGCAGTCTTCGTTAACAACTCCTCACAATGCTGTTTAGTTAGCGCACCGTTTTGCAAAAAACACCACAGAAATTTGGTTTCATAACGTTAAATGAATACAATGAAATGAAGCGACGAATAAATACATAAATAATTTCACTTTTACACTTCAAATTTCATTTTCATAATCAACGGATGATTATCATGTGAAACAAATTCAAAAAGTCTTATAACCGAAATGTTTTAAGATCACCAATGTAAGGTATTGCTATTTAAAAAGCAATGCTCAAAGGGCTTTGTCACGAAATAATTTGACAGAAAAGAATAAAATTAGCACGAAACAACCAAGATAAACATGTACTTGATAATTGCAATATGAGTCATAGCGATGTGAAAGGGACGGACCTCGCTGCATTCGAGTATAAACATGCCGAAAGTACAGTTCCTTGTATAAGATCATAAATATACGACTATCTAAAAATATCGTTATGAACAATTCCAATGCATAATGCCATCGAAATGATCAACAGCAGAAAGCACCTTATGAAAGAGATAATCAATGAACTGAATAATCACTCATTTGGCACATGACCACCAATTACTATGAGGATCCATCATTAATGCACTATTACTATCGCTATCAACAAAACCGATTCGATTCACCTGGACCAACTATAGTTTCGACTGATTCTTCACTAGGCCATAACTTCTGTTGAAAGAAGCGCTCTGTCAAATCGGGAAATCCATGTTCATAAAGACTATGGATTTCAGCGACATTCTCTTCATCAACCATACGCTTGAAGTAGACCAAATACTGCACAACATCATCCGGAACTCCTTCTTCACCGAAGCTGTCACCTGCATGCATCAATCAGTCAGTCATCAATCACTTTCTTTTCCATTCGAATACGTTCATTAATTTCTCACTTCTCAATAAATTTAAACAATTAGCCTTAATGCTTCCCGAATATCAAATGCAAACTAAAAACAATTACAAAAATCGTAATATTAGGATTCCATCGGATTTTAATTTTGCTTTACGATGATTGTTACTTACTACAGATGCATTTTCTTCATTACGTAAGCCCACTTATTGCTTGGCTTGTTTTTAGAGAGTTGAATGGCGGTCAATTGATTTTCATAAATATTACTGCTGAATCGCAGTTTTTGCATCAACCATTTTTGTTATAGTAAGATTGTCTTTAACTCGTCGGGCACCAAATCGAAGGTGTCAAATCTGATCAATTCTTACCATGAATAGCACCACAAAAAATAATGGCTTAATGCAACGAACAATCAATTGAAAACACTTCACCTCGTCTTTTCTGTTCTCGTTCGTAGGCTAAATCCCGTTCAGGATCACCGGTATGTGCGCCTTCGAAAGAATCCGTTCTAATCATAACTATTCGTCTCTCACCTGATGATTATTCAAGTATTCAATTTCAATATCTTCACCTACAATCGCATCAATAATACTCAGAGTTGGAGGATTAACATAATGTATTTCTGAGCAGTGAATTTGCATAAATCACCATTCTGGTCTCTGTACAGGCATGCAATGCATGAAGATGAAAACCTCAAGTCACATTCACTTATCATTTCTCCCATGCACTAAAAGTTTTTTGAGCGACGGAAAAAAAGAACGTAACAGTTCATTGATGGGATGGATGAATCCTTTTCAAAGAAATTATAACTGTTCCAAAAGATGGAGGTAAACCTATAGAAAAAGTAAGCAGGATACACAAAAAGCAAACCCTTATATAAAATCACAGATGATATACTGAAGCGAAAGCTGACAAGAATTATTCAGTTCGTTATCAGCGAAACGCATTACAAACAACTTAAAATTAAAACATATGAAAAAACAATTTATTGTTACATCATCAAATATCATTAACAAGGATGAATTTGAAATCTTTTCTTTTCTTCTCTATTAATTTACGAATGCATACGCATTAATCACATAACAACAACAATAATAGTTAACGCCATATTCAGAACATATCGAATAATTTCTTAAAGTGTACGACAATGAGATGAGATGACCATAGAGCGATCGATTCGACAGTCGAATAACAATACCAAGATGAATATTTCGAAACGACACGACGTATTATAAAGAGGGAATCTATTCATCACAATTACACCACATAAAAAACAAACTGTAAACGAACGAATAATTATAAATAAACAATTCGTAATCAATCGCTAATATGCGATAAAAATCGTCGAAATAAATTATCGATCCTTTACAGTTAACTCAAAAGCATCTAAATATTCTTTTTCCCACCCAACTGTTGTCGTTACAATAGGAAACACATTAGAATATTTAAAACGAAACGAAATGATGTTGTTGTTATACAGCGGATATAACCATGAAACATTCAGAAAGTCTTTTATCAAATCTGCTAACTAATTTCATTATTCGCTTATTCGATAGAACTGTGAAAGATAATTCAGAATGCGTGTGAGATGATTGAATGCAATGGGCAGCAAATTTAGACGATCAAAATTAGCAGCTTCTCTTGTTCATTTAAAAACCAGAACTGTGTCACTGATGGAACGTTGTAGATTGACTATTCGACGCTGAATTTCGCCTATCACTTAAAGTTGAAATAACAAAAAATACAAATCATTTGACCGAACATTTAGTGTGTATTTCAATACATAATACCGACATACACGCATACATCCAACATCGGACATTGAATCATCTTTTCATCTCATTGACCATCATCCATATTTATTTATTTCTAGGAGTAATCTTTTTACGACTCAAATTCTTTCCTCTCAGCAGTTATAAGTTCAATTATATTTCATTTCTTTTGTTTCCAAACGCACTGACGATCATTAATTCAACACTCCTACTTCTTTCCTCAGCAACTGAGAAAGGCTTCATAATACTTCATAAAGATAAAACTTCCCGGTTTTGATGTGAATAAATAAATGAATTACTGCTTTTGTGCACCTCTACTTCTCTTCCAATTTCTCTCAAATGATGCAAAATATTACTATGCCATTATAAAAAATCATATTCAACCATATCACAGTAAATTAGCACTGAGTTCGTAGCACGATCCAAAATGGGTTCGATTAAAAAGCATCGAACAATTGATATGATAATTTCCAATTCTTCATGCTTCAATGAGATGAATTTTTCGTTTTTTTTTTTAAAGACAAGACATCTTTTAGAACAGTGATAATGAACATCAACAGAATGACTGAGACAAAAACGTTAACACATATTTCGAATATATACGTGTTTCTATTTATAAATAACTTCGAGAGAGCTTGTTATGAAGCGGAGTTCATAGTCAGTTTTGCATCGTTATATCGGCAATAAACATAATGATGATACTGATAAGTAGAGTGAACTACGGGCACAAAAATAAACACTGTAACTTTCGATTCACCTGTGCAAAGGTAAGCATTAGGATAAATAAATGATGACGATCAAGGAATTTTTTTTCGATAGAATCGTACCTCAATAACTTGCCTCTATCTCGAAAAAAAAATCATGAGAAGCGCTTTCGTAATGTGCATAAAATTGCAGCTTCAATAGAGCGATGAAAAGAAACAATATAAAAAGGGATGATAGTAAGATGAGGCACCAACCATCTTGCTGAACCTCATATGATAACACCGCAATAATAACCAACCCTATGGTGTGAAGTGAAGAGGGAGGATGGTGAGCGAAGGTTTTGTTAGTGATGAAACAAATCGTACAGTGCCATAGACCATCGTAGTATCACACTGTATCAGCTGAAACTGTAAACTAGATCACCGAATTAGCACTCATATAATTATCTTAATTTGGTACACTCCCGCTATCAAATACCCATCATCACCCAAAAGTTTCGATAATTTCATCAAACAAATTTTCTTATTCTGAACAAATCATTTGCGCATAAATTCACACAAATAACTCTGAGCTACTGAAGTACGAATAACAACTATCATTCGAAAATAACCAAAATTATTTCAAACTTTCACAAATTGTTTTATCTTATATCAAACTAATTCTAACACACTATTCTATTCTAATTCACCTCTTTATCAAAATAAATTTGCAACAGTTTGAGCACTAACAAAACTTTCGATTGATGGATGAGAACGGAATCAATCCATTTTCATAATAATCAAATGATGGCGATGATTGATAACTTCATCTTACTACAATAGGTCGTGTTTTGTTGAACTGTTATAATAGACATATTACGAAAGGATATCAAACCAAACATCACAATTCAGAAGATCAATTTAAAAATCCGAAACAATAACGACTAAAAACTCGAACGATGAAATAAAAATGGTAAGTGTATAAGAAAGGATAAATGACATGTGTGAATGTTATGAATCTGAAGCAAATAGAAAGAAGAAAACATTAAGAACGATGAGCAAAATGAGAGACGCACAAGAGTTCAATCAATTCGCATACTTTAATCGATTCCTGTTTAATTGATTCACTAAATACTGATTAAGATGAAATCAATTCAATCTGAACGACACTACAGTTCAAACGAATACAATAGAACAATGCTGCGCACGGTAAATCTGATAACTGAAATTGGTAAAATATGCGATCAATTCAATTGCTCAATGAAAGAACGTAATTTTGACTGACTGCCTTATAAACCAATTGGAAGAAGTGATAAGAATAGCATTGAATATCAACACCAACTACACCCCAAACAATAATATCAGCGGATAGAGTGTGGTGCAATAGACAAACATTAGGTAATAAGCATTCGAACAAGGAACACCGAATAGTGTACGATGAGATGAAATTCGTGAACGGATCAGGATTACCTCAGAAATAGAGAAAAAGTGGAAGAGAGAGACAAAGGAAATAGAGAAGATTTTAGGACATTGAGATGTTAGGCTGGAACTAGCCTTGAATCACAATGCCTGAATCCTCTTTGCCCTTCATTCGCGGTTTGCCAGTTGTAAACGGAATATAACGATACTTGATCATATGCTGAAAAAAAAATTGTTTTCATCTGATTAAGCATCCCATATCAATGAATCGTAAGAAATCGGTTTCAATTTCAAATGAAATAAAAAACTGCGCAATAGAGATTTTGGTTCAACTCGAAACGCATAAAGTTCAATTGTGCTTCAAAACCACAAAAAGTGGAACCAGTCTCACCATAAGTGATATCATTCAATGAATACTGATTGATTTTATCAACTAGTCTCCCATGCATCTAAGTTAATTAATACAATCAGCTAGAGTGGTACGGGACCGGTGAATTTCGGAGACCCCGTTCCCGACTTTTTTCGAGCCGACGACATTTTCGGGGTCCCCGACTGCAAAATTTTGCCCCCGATTTTCCCCTCCCCGACTTTTTCTGTGCCCACACCACACTAAAATCAGCTGCTGTACAAAAAAACTACTTTACATTAATGCTATAACCACCAAATCACAACATTCAATTGATTGAATAGATTCACATTGAAACATCAACAACAAATTCGATTAATAGTTTATTTACCATAATCTGACGTTTCATTGTGAGGCACGTCAAAATGATGAAATACATCACAAGAATAGGCCAAAATACTGGAACGTTGAAAACTTCAAAGAACGTGCATGTAAATGCTATCAGTGTCGCTTTTACAGTAGAGTACCTAAAAATTTACATTCGATATCACATCACTTCTTTTCACTAATCATGCAATCATTCAAAAAACTAAGAAAGTAAGGAAAAAACTAAAGAACAATCAAGAAAAGTAAGGAAATACTGAAATGAAAAAACATACCAGAACTTAAACTCAGGGAGGCGTCGCATAAAAGGTCGAAATTCTTCATTACCCTTCGATGGAAGTGTTGGTCCCTCTTCATCTTAAAAGAATTAAATGATAAACCAACCTTTGAAATTGAAAATCAGTTGGAATTTCCAGTATAGGATGGATTATTGAAATCAAGTGAATAACGATCAACAAGAGGAAGTCACAATCCATAACTGCACATTACTGTATCAATCATTTTCAGATTTCGAATCGAACACTGACACAATAATCGAACATTGTCACACAATAATCAGTGCAAAATTCAAATCTTCAAAGACTTCAAAACTGCAACAACCATCTGCACTGCATTCAAATAAGGGTGAAATTTCACATGTCGACAGAAACAACAAACCTTCATTGTCGAAATCAAGTGCGGGATCCATTTTTGGCGTTAGGAAGGCCAGAAACAGATTCAAATAATATATTCCAAGGGCATAAGTGACGATATAGAAACCCTTAATATGTCCATATAGTGATATGAAATTGGAAAAAAAAAAGAATAAAATGATGAATCGAATGCACTGAATGACTGAAACCGTGAGAAATTTTCGGATCTAATGTCATATAAATGAAGAAAAGGTTTATACTGAAACGAATAACTAAAAAGACAGCCTTTACGATACGCACTGATAAGAAACTGTTGATGTTTCATATTTACTTTCAACTGCTTAACGGGTACATCACTGTAGCATGTCTATCAAAATTCAACCGCTAGTAACATCTCAAAAACCTTTAGAAATGAGTGCTTGGCACTAATATTGCTTATTTAGAGACACTATCTAAAAAATTCGATGAATAAATAACGTCACATTTATTGAGAATAGTTTTGCATATCTTCACGACTGGAAAAGAAAAGTGAAGTACCACTTGAAAAATCGTAAAAATAACTTACCTCAACGGCGATAATTCGCCACATGAACAGAATTATGAGGGCGATGGCAATAACCCATCGTATTGACCCATATGGAGTCAACGAATCCAGATAATACTGGTATTTCTGAAATCGAATTCTCATTCAGGTCGTTTAACAACAGCAAACAATCAAGAGATTTTCACTATCCGTTGATGAATAACATTCAATTCAGAAATTTGTTCACGTAGACAAAGTTGTGATAAACCCGTTCGCGCATCTCGAAAGATAATCGACCAAGATCTTGTGCCATTTAATTCATTTTTCAGAACTGAACAGAAATTCACACTTCAGAAGGCAGAATTACACCAAGTTGTAATTTCAAGAAAGAAACAACTGCTTGCAGTTCTGAGGCATAAGTCTTGAATCTTTCATTATCAACTGCTATCAAATATCGGTGCAGAATTTATTAGCAAGCAATGACGCACAAAACAATCTCCGGCCAAACATTGAACTTAAATGCTGGCTGATTTTTGAAGTTTCCAAAAAGAGCTATTCTAAGAAGTGAATTGGGGTTCAAAAATGATCGCAGTTCACCTGTCTGTAACCATCTAGATTAGCAATAAACCTTAACAAGAGGTAAATATTACTGCATTAAATATAGGCCGGAAATAAAAGTTGAACGAACAGTCAATTGAAATTCACAGAATATAAACATATAATTCTATAACAAGAAATCAATCCATTAGGTTGTGTAACAAATGAATTCTAGTGATTCAACAGGAAGTGATGCATGCAGTAATCAAGGAAAATTTAGCGCAATATATGTGAAAATGACGACATTAGATGTGAATAACTGCAACGGGATTATTTACTAATGAGTAAATCACATACCACTCCGATACTTGAAAAGAAGCGTGACACAATACTTGGCCGATCCACCAAATCGTTTGCATCCTCCATTTTAGATTACCCAGATCCGAGCAAAACAAGCACGCACGACTTGGAGTGCTTGACCTCTAATATGAAACCTTATCATTTCAACTTCTATGACGAAATAATTAAATTTCGTTAACCGACTTGCCGAATAATACATGTGCGAAAATATTACACGAATACGAAAGAACGATTCGCTAAAATATCAGTCGCTACATTTCCAGTTCAAGCATTTATATTTTTCAAATATAATGCTACTGCTCGCTGAACCTACTTCCTTTTACGTCAGGGTTTCTCAACCGGAGATGCTTACACCCGCAAAGGGTGGGAGATAAGATCTTGTTCTTTAGACGTTAACGTACGTGAGGGCGGATTTCAACGCATATATGCGTAAAAAGTAAGCTAGGATGGACTTCAAGGTACACTTTTAAAAAAAGCTACAACGTATTTTGATGGTGCGCACTTATATACACTACGGGCACTGAGAGAAATAGAGTGGATGTTGTGAAGCGTGCAAGCACATTTAAACTATTTTTGTAGGGGGTGCGAGGACATCTTTAAATCTTCTAGGGGATACAAGGGGAAAGGTTGAGAACCACTGTTTTACGTATTATTCTCAGATATGGTCGGGCTAAAATCCGGGCGTAACATTACACAAACACTAAGTTAAGTCAACCTGAACAAGGATCAACTGAAGAGTACACCTCACACAGAGTACTAGCAAGCTTCAGCAAAAACTTACTTAAGCTTCACATTAATTCCCAACTTTCCGCAAAATCATGATCAGGTTACAATAACAACACAAATAACAGGCTACGGCTCATGTACTCCACAGCCCAATACATCATCGAGAAAATCGAACGCTAGGCAGTTAACATTTCAGCAATCTAAACGGCACAATTCCCTCCGAGATGCACCTCGACAGCATTCTTTGGTCTCGCTTAAAACAACTAATGAATTCGATGAAGGTGTCACAAAGCGTTGTTGATAGGTTATTTCTTGATAACCTTTAAATGTTGAACCCATCTTTTCACTAAAATTTTACTGACTTCAACTTTCTGCAGCACCAGAACAAACAATTCGAAATGCCTTTTTTTAAAGCCTATATCTATGCGATGATTAGAGCTGCGCAAGTATCGAAAATAAAGCACTTACATTTCGAATGCCTTTAAACGCTATATCTTCAGATTAAAATTCGCTAAGAATTAGGCCTAACTTGAATTATAAACGCAAAATATCTGCCACAATGGAATAACGTTTTAAGATGATCGTAATACACTTGGCAACTTAAGAAAACATTCCCAGTTCGCGATAAATCGCAACGGTAAAAAGGCGTTGAAAGAGAGTTGCGCAGTTGCTCAGTGCGACCGACGAACGAGTTGCTAAGATGGCTAAGAATGACCCCATCGGAGAGATACAAATCCATCATCAGAGTCGACGACGTCTTTTCCGTTGACAAATTCTAACTCATTTGTGCGCATTTGAACGGTTCGCCACATGCTGTGCGTGTTCAACGAGCAATGCAATGCATACGTGGCATTTGATGTAGCCCATTACAACTGTCATTAAATGGCAATGCCAGACAAATAAGTGACCCAGTGCTTTGATTTGTGTACTCTGGTGGTTTACCAGTATAAAAGTGATCAAAATTTTAGAGCTAATCTGACGGTAAGGCATGCTAACATCCAATAGGAAGAACAACCATTTCCAACATTCCACTGCAATAATTTTGTGAGTAAAGTTAAAAATCACTTTGAAATGCATTCTAAATGTTCTATGAAACACTGAAAACCGTCAGCAGCGTCGCGAATGACCAATTCGACTGCATTACCGCATTTATGGAAATATCCGAATAAAATCACACTCATCTTGAGCGTTCATTCCGTCATCTCATAAGCATCTTCACCTAAGTTTAGTGACATACTGTCAACGGTTTTACAATATTTTCAATTGTTTCATATTGCTACTGAACTTAATTGAAGGAACGCCAACTGGAATAGTACTGTCCACTAAACGCAATATCATTTTAATCACCACAATGTGCTGATACTGGAAGCGTGTTTCAACCGACTGCAATCACAGATGCGCAATGTCTTGTGCTCACTTTATCAGATCGTAACATTTTAAATAACAATACAAACGAATCAAGCATTAATTTGCTCAAATAATGAACAACAATGGAACGAACAATCACACAGAATCAATCAAAGTCAACGATCATGAACCGCAAGTGATCATTTCTCTTGCCATAGTGATTCTGGTGGGTAATACAATTTGATAGCGATTGTTTATTCGCCACTAGCTTTCGCATCTAAATGGCGATGAACCATCTCCTCTTTCGAAATCAGATGTGAAACCTGCAACATAACACATCACAAATTAATGCAAACGATACTAATAATAACGGTGAAAATCAACAACACTAGTCATAAAAAGAATGATGACATTAACAAAAGAACCTTGTTAAGAATGTCGGTAAGCTTGCGAACAGAACTAGCCCACTGATCCAATTGCTCAATATTCGCTTTTCTGGCACGCAAGTTAACAATCCTCAATGGTCGATGAATCTTTGCATCCGGAATCGCACCTGTCACTATCATATTGCACAAGAATTTCTCCATGTCCTACAAAAATGTACCAATGTTGCAATGGAAACATGCAGATTCAAACTGATAAACCAATGTCCGCAATTGAAAACAAGAGCAGGGAAAACAACTCACCTCAACAGGATAATCGAGCAGTTCAGCCATTCGATCGAACGTTATTTGCGTATAATATTTGGCGATCATACGCATATTCTAAAACATTCAGCATTAAGCAAGTGGAACTGATGTGGGACTATATGGACAACACTGCAGTACTAAATAGCTTTTTTTATAACTGAAATAGCATTAACAACACAACTTTTGATGGCAAAATCAAAAATTATTTCTCTTAAGATACACTCTAAATTTACACAATAAAGAGAAATTTTATTTGATTTGACAGCTCAATTCGCATTAATATCGAATCGAATCAATTCTCCAACAATAAACTCAGAACTGTAACCCATCATACGATATTAACCAATTCTGAAGGCAGGGTTACATGTCGTCTACATAACACAACAAAAAGATTGCATTTCGACATACATGCTCTCCCACACGAGTCTGCAAATCTGCCCAACGTTTATTGCCACCATCCGTTGTATCGAAAACATCTGTTGATTTATTGTTGACCGCACCTCGTCTTAATAACGTCTCGAATCGGGTTAGGATCGTTTCCTATCAAAGGAGATTATGACATCTCATAATAAATATTACTCTCCAATCATCTATACGGTAGACCGAAATATGAAGTTTTAGTTATCATACGTGAAAAAAACTACGATGGACCATTAAGTTCACGTTAGCAATGAAATGTTAGAGAACTAACCTTCCAAGAAATGATCTCTTCATTGATGAAAAGCTCTAGTAACTGATTATATTCGGCAATAAGTTCCAACTGTCTCATGTTATGAATACGATGTAGAAGATCCCATTGCTCGTTTGTATGTTTTGACAGTAAAACATATAGTACAGCACACTTTAACACCTAACAAATAACTATTTTTTCATACCAAATTCAAACGCCATACTCTGATTGTGAAGATAAGTAAACGCACCTATCTCAGGCAAACTTCTTTTTCAGTCAATTTTCATCATACTGCGTTAACTTAGCCTCTTAATAACATTATCGAACGAATGCTTAAATTTTTTCCATTCGAATTGACCATAAATCAGGTCACTTCCAAAAACAATACCAGCTATTAACTAAACTCCTCACAACTTAACTTCACACAACAAAAACGTACAGTCTTCGATGGCTTATAAAATCTTCACAAACTGATCGTCGAACCTGTTTGGTCTTTTCAATATCAGCCTGTATTCGTGGCGTATCGTATACTTGTAGATAATAACGACAAACATCCAGGTAATCATTGTCGTTCAAACCGAGTTTTATCATCAGATCGTAGTATTTTAGTTTCAATTCTTGTACCTGAAAGTTCATATCGAAATACTCTTCGCTGTTTCCGGCTCCACTCCAATCTTCCTTACGGAATAAAATTAGATGCCAAAGAGACACAAAAAGACAGAAAAAAGGCACCCATTTGATATGCATATGTAGAGGTTCACGTATGACCATACTTAATCGATTTAAAAAATAACTGAATTCAAAGCTGTTAAGACAAATCAAATGCATGATTTACTAAGCATATGCTACATTAACAACTATCAATAAACAATCAATGTTTTCAAACATGAAACAATAAGATGGAGATGAGCATTGCAAAAGACGGAGGTTATGAAACAAATATCCCGAACTGAACTCACCGATTCAGATTTATCCTCAAAGAATCGAACCGAAATCTTTTTGCAGATAATCGATCCACGAATGAAATCTTTACGCAAGACACATAAACGCATCTGCTCCAACAAGAATTCCACCTGCATTTTAAGATTGGTCCCTAGTTTACAGTGGTAACGAAGTTGAAACATCAAAATAAATAAATGAAACTATAGTATATCTCAATAATTCCGCAAACAAATATGATACAACTCTTATGCCTGTAAGCTAATCATTCTGCAACACCATGAAGCAGTGCTTCGGATAGTACCAAATTAAAGCAACATTCTCCCATTAAAATGAAATTCATCAAAAATATTCTCGTATTTAAAAAATGAAAGCAAGAAATATAAACTACAAAACTTTTGAAATCAAACTCTTACTTTCTCTTTCATTTCCATCGAGCCGTATGTTTCAACTTGGAGTTCAAGAAGCATTGTAGCTGCTTCATCGATTTTTCCTTCTGTTTCCAGCTTCTTCACCAATCGACTTGTCAGGCGTGCCCGTTCCACTTCCACATAAATCTGTAAAATACTTTCATCGAATATTTTCAACTAATATATTAATCGACAAAAAAGATTTGGTCAAACGACTCTTGTTGGACTGTTTTTAATAGCTTTCCATTAAGGTGAATTCCAATCGTTTCATTCACTCATAATTGCAAACAGACAAAAATTTAAAACGTAATTGTAGACACACACAAACACATGAAAGCAATACAAGAATTCGATAGAAACGAGTTCACTTTTACATCAGAAGTTGAAGTGACAAATGAATGAGTAACAGCAAAGAAATGTGATCACACTACTGTTGCATAGAAACGTAAAAGCGCATAATACCTTTCCAGCAGTGACGTTACGTAACGTTTCAATTAATTTCGATGCAGTTTGTTCATTTGGCATTCGGTCGATCATATCGCAACAATCACGTACCTGTTATAAACGACGGTTCAATCAATCAACTCAACGTCATCTAGGTGGATGCGTTATAAACATTATCAGATATATTATTTCAAACATGCAATGAAAAACGGCAAAATTTTAAACGACTAAAAAAAATACATAACGCTAATATATGATCGAGATTCAACTGAACTGATGATACACCGATAAGAAGTTAGTACGTAAATTAAAAATGCATACTCACCATTCTAGCAATAGCTAACTTAATGATAGAGCGTTTCTTAGACAGTGTCACAATGGTTTCATTAAGGAGAGTCCATGCTGAACCATCGAAGCAGATTTTCACCATATGTTGCACAATTCTCGAGTTAGATTTCATATCAGATCCTAAACGTGTTTGCTTCTCGAGACTCGTCAATGATTCAAGCGCTGCTGACACATTACCCGTCTGTAATCAAGATTATAACACATCACAAAACGTTGAATCTATCACCAACTCAACATAACTTCAAATGGAAGGGAAATCTAGATGATCTGTATCATATCTGTCGGTAGATGTGCACTTCTACTTTTAAATTTACCTGCTGCAGCCACAGATAGTTGACAGGAGGTTTTAGATAATTCACACACTCAATGAGGTTACAAGTGATCTCTTGATTATTTTTATCGCTGAATATTCGCGAATTTCCGAAATACATCATTATTTGTTCCACTAGAACCGAGTTGATTTTCCCAGAATCAGTTGTACGAGAAGACAATTTGACATGAATTCACAAATTTCAATTGAGTAGCAAAAGTAAATAAATACCTTCGCAATAGCATCAGCCCTCGGTAATGCTTCATCCACCTGCGAGGTATAATCAACTTCCATTTTGAATAAACGGCCATCTCCTTCCTAGAATATTCATTTTAATATCTCTATAACTGATTAAATAGCACATTTCAAATAACTTCCAAAAACGTCATACACAAATATTCGAAATTTACTGTTCCACCAAATTTTTTCATAGAGATAAATAACGCATTTCAAGAAGCACCTGTGCGGCAAGACTGGCGAAGTCTTCAACTGCGATTATCGACGCCGTTTGAGTACCCGAACGAATTGGAGAAACATCACGCTGTTCCATGATCACTAACCACTAAAAAATCGTTCTTTTCCTCATCAAGTAATTAGTTACAGATTAAAAACTCCACTATACAATGAGAATAAAAAATCAGCTCTGAAAATGGAGACGACATTTCACAGTCTAGCAAGCATACGTCAAAATTAGCTCATAAATCCAATGTCTTCAGTCATCCATTTTCAATGCTTACAATATCTTTCAACTTCATGAGTCGTCTCAAAAAGAGCAGAGTACCGAATGTACATAAAATCGCTCGTTGAATCCATTTATGATTTATTTGTAAATGTTGATAATTTCCCCTCTTCGGTTAACTTCTCTCCACCATTTTTTTCCCGTCCACTCCTCACTTTCCCAGGTACCTTTCCTCCCCTCAAAGCACCGTTTACCTCCTCGGTTTCATCACTGAAATCCATCGTTCTGACCCAAGTTCTTCACCTTTTCTGGGAATAGGCATTTGACAATGGAATTGCTTCGACCAAGTGATCAGTTGTTTTGCAAAAAGTTTATGTTGCATTCTACCTGAATGCAATAGAACGGTATTATCAGACATCAGAATTTGGGCAGTAGAATGAATTCACTCACTGAAGTGAATTATCACTGGAAATTTATCTGTGACACTTAAACTTCTCAGCAGCATATATTTTTTACTTGATATAAGTAAAAATACCGCTGTGATTGATGGCAAAATTGAATTTATAGACATAGAAAACTTATAGGAAAGTGATTTTTTTTTTTGATTTCCCTAGAATAGCGCATTACTGGTCAATAGAGAGATCAAATGCATACATTTTGACAGTGTTATAAATTCGCTCAGGTATGTCACATGCCGCTGGAAATTCAATCTCATATCAGAAACCAGGCACAATTCGTCGACATTTTATATACTTCACCTGTAGTTGAGAATGTGTTCTATCCGTTCTTATTGTAAACATTGCACTTTCAAAATTCCCAAAACATCATTTGGATGAAATATGTAAATCAAGATATGAAAGATGCACATATGAGAAATGCAACATATCTGTTGCATATTCAGATGGAATGCATGCTAATAGCCAAAACAAAGGCATTATTTGAAAGCTGAGAAAATGTAACAAAGAATGTTATCTACGAATATTATCTCATAGGAATGTGAGAAAGCAATGGAAAATAAGGCGTATAAAAGAAGGCTACGGCAGAAGCAAAGTCGAGGAGTCAAACAATCATTCATAATTCGTACGTACTATTCGACAGTCGTGTTATCCCAGGTTTGGGGCAATAATCATCAATCGAAAATATTAATTGTGATCACTCATCATAAATTGATTATTTCGTGAACTGTACATTGAATTTATTGTGATCACTCATTATAAATTGATATTCCAAGTTTGGGATTCTATGTATTATTGATACTGTATTAACTATATCCACCGACAATAAATCATTATTTAATATATTAATAGTCTACCGCTTCCACAATATTACAAATTCTCAACTGGTAGCAGCGAGTGGTTGGTGGTTGCGTCACGCTGCTTCATTGAAAAGTGAAAAACCCCAAGCCGATTATTCTCAAATTTTTACTTTCAGTAAATATCACTACTATTAACGACTGGAATATATTTATACGTAACCCCGTAGCGAGTCATAATCAAATCAAACAACTTCGAACTTCTTATCATTAATAATAACGACTGCAATTCATATTCAACGCCGTAGCGGACCAGAATCAACAAAAGGAAAACGCCGTAGCGAGGAGTAATCAGTGAAGGAATACGTGTAAAGTCGATATGCGACGATCGGGGCCACCGGACCGTGCGGACGACGATCTGCCACCCGGGAATCCCTACTTTCCGCCCGTTGGACGCCGACGTGGTCATCCACTCACTTAGGAATCTTCTTCCGACAGCCCCGTCGGGCGCCGTACTCTTTTTCCCACTAACCGTCCAAGTGGACAACATGATGCGGCTATGAGTCGAGCTCAATTGAGTCGAACTCAATCCAGTTTCTCTCAAACGAATCGAATCGGTCAGGACCCCTTGACCAGCAGCCCTGTTGAGCGCAGTACTCATGATTCTACCAATTGTCAATCTTCAAGCAGACCTAAGGCATCTAGAGGACCAATTGGTACCTTTAGTCCGGCTACATCGTACTCAGAAGCAATCACACTGCGTGAACCAGCCGTGTACGTAGTGTCGCAGATATTGAAGAACACTACTACATTTGTAAGTGCCGTGACTAACATGATTCCAGAGTCAGACATGTTTTGCAGCCGTTCTTTGATGTAAGCTGCGATCACGAATGTTTTCCCGGTGCCAGCAGGTGTTTGTTGGAACACTACTGGAGTACCTCCTTTTAAGCATGTCAGTACTCTTTTCTGGCATTCATTTAGTGATTCCGTGAGAGTCGAGCTATCGTCTTCTTGTAACATGATCTGATTTCCTACGCCCAACAGGGCTTTGATGATTGCGTGTTTTGGCTGCGGATCGTTAGTAATGATGGAGTGCGAAGGCTGTCTGGCTTGCAGTTGAGCTATTCTGAATTCCAGGCCTGTCCGGCTCGTGTCAGGGAGTATGTACAACGAGCGTTCCTGTTTGACTATCCAGGGTGCCCATCCTTTCAAGTCCGTGAAGGCACCTTCCTCTATATATATGTTTCCCATCAGATTGCCAAATTCATCAATCTTCACCATCTGTAACACACCATGTGTTCCGGAATAAGAGGGCGTCGCCATACCTGGCAGCCGTTCTACCAGCAGGTCTTTGCTAGGTAGTATGAGCATTCGGGTGTCATCCTCCCAGAACTTCGTTCGCAACATCACGATTCGTGGATCAGCAACCACTGCATGGTAGACACGAAGACCTCGGCGGGTCAAAATGTACTGGTTGCTGTCGAATGCCGAGCGCTCCATCGCTATCTTGGTACGGTAGCGTATGAGCGACGCAGCGGCGAGCAGTGTATCCTCGTGTCGCCGAGCTACATCCGGAATAGCATCTGGCGATTCCGGCGTCTCAGGTAAGAAGGGATCGAGGTGGATGGCTGGATCATTGGGATCGACCTTGCTTAATTGAGTGAGACTGCACTCGGATTCGGGCTCGGTATGCGATTGCTATCAGGTTTCGTTCTTTAGATGACAATGTGAAATACAAAAGAGCAATTGATCTTGATGAGCAATAACGCTAATGCTGCAATTATGAAGTGATCTACCTGGTGGGTACATGTCTCATTACCATGAATAGACATCATAAATTGTTCAGTACTTTTGGTGGTGTGTTTTCGTCTTCGACTGGAATGTATTCGAATTTAATGATCACGGTGTTCTTGTTCGTTGCATTTGGTTGATATTCTTTACGTTCCACTTGATTGTTTTCAAATTTGATGCGGTTCAGTTGTAGTGGAAAATAAAGCTGTGCAGCCTAAATCAGGCGGAATTGTTTACTTGATAAGAGATGGGTGCCATTTCAAGGGCAGTCGTGACGATATGATCACTAAGCGTAATTCCAAACACCCAAATATGTAAAATGTCTGTTCGATAGCTGTATTTTCATTTTTAAGGATTTCTTAAGAGAGAAAAATCTTGAGCGGCTAAGAGTAATGTTATCATTTTGAGAAGGTAATTTTGGATGAAAGTTGGTTAGGTGAGTATGGATCGTGAGAGATAAAGGTTGAATTCAGGATGCGAACTGTAGCGCGCAATAAGTCGAATGAAATACTGAAGCCTTTTGCATTAGTTGTGATATCATAGTGTCTTTGATGAACTCGCTTAGTGAATTCTGTCAGAACCGAGCAGATGGGTCGTACGGTATCGGAATTAATCTCGTGTATCGATAGTGATGCAGAACTCTATCATGATAACCTATATAAAAGCTGCATCCCAAAGTGGATGTCGTCCTCTTGTAACGGTAATGTTCAGAGGCCATCAAGCGGACGCGAATCGCTTCCCTTTGAACCATCATCACCACAACGCAGTCAGTCCTGCGTGAATCGTCCACATGGTGCATATAGTCTTGGATGTACTTCCTGCTCTATTTTATGTGTGGCTCAGCAACAACAAGCGATGGAATGTCCGACTGGTCGTATCTATGATCCAACATCAAATCGGTGTTTATCAAAGGCTGGTTATTCTCTTCCTATTCATTTTCAAATTTGTCACTGATCGTGCTCGGAAAAAACTAGCGATGGTTCATATACTAATGCGCAACTGATCCTTATCCAAACCAGTCACAGTGCTGAAGAAAATTGAAATTCAGGCTTATGTTGATGTTTGTAGAGGTCGGCAAGCTGCAATTCCATTACCAACCACTACATCGATATAGCCACCGCACAAACACCAAACTCATGTCTTCCTCAATATAAACCAGACCAGTGGAAGTCTGCCTCATTCATGCCATTCAATATTTTTAAAGACAGCTTTGAACGTACCACTTTTCTCATGAGAATTTTAGTTTGTTCAACAAAGTTCACAATTTAAGGATTTTGTTGTACTGATAAAGTAGATGGTTATTACTCGCTTGGTTGTTCATTCCTTTATGCCTCGTGCATTCGTGGTAGAGCTTATATCCACAGATGTGATGCTTCATATCGCTTTGACATCGTTGCGTATCGTTGTGTTTCCAAGGTAATTGTAACGCAGTTGAGGCGCTGTCTGCAAATAGTGAATTCTCACTAAAAGAGCCTCCCTCAAACTAATGAGGATCGTTTACAGTGGTATGTAAGAGAATGCGGTGGTCGTTCGCACATGTTGCCACCAGCTACAATAGCCCTAACACGACACCACCAACGCTCACTACTCCCAGTTTCGAAACTATTGCTGAAGTCGTCAAACTCCAACGCCAAACTTCTGCAGCGGACATCCGGATGATGCTTACGTGATTGGATGCTCTGCATCGTACTTCATTTGTATATCTAGACGCGCGATTTTCAATCGTTGCTCAGGTGGCATGGTGTTTGACATTACTGTAAAGATGTGTCGTTATAAGGTATTATTCGTTTAATCATTAAGTTCTTTGCTGTTTTGCATTTGCTGATAATTTCACTATCAGTGAAATGAGTGGATAAGATGTCATTTGAAGTGTGTGATTCGATAATGAATAGAAAAGATGTTATTCTTTTATCTTAGGTTGTCAAGTGTGCGAATTTCAGTGGTTCGTAAAGGCTTGCGGTGGAACGCCTGCAGTATCATTTACTTTTCCACCAGTCACAATCCCACCACAACAGCCTTCTACTTTACCTTCGGGTAAGTTTATATTATATAGATGAGCACATCGTTCATTGAATACAGTCAAGTAGTGACCTAGTAATGCGATGCTGGCCTCGATCATGTTTCAAGGACGAAATTTTTGGGCATGTTAACTTTGAATAACGATCGGAGATATTTGAATGGCCGTTAAATATTTTAGTAAAGCCACCATGCACTTAGAGTAATGGCCTTTACGCGATGGGATGTTCATCTCGTTTCTATTCATGCTTCAACGATTATCCGTCGTATTATTGGTGTCCTCGTAACCTTGTCTTCGACACATGCACACTCACATGCGTTAAAAAGGTTCGCTTTTCCTGCAAAATATTTGTTCTATTCTTACTTCGTCATGCACACAGAAACGGTTAATTCACTTGTTTCTTAATGAAATACCGTTGATAAATCATCATGCTTTTTTCAGGTAACGATCGAAAAGTGTAAAGTGTATGAGAAGAATATGTAGCGATGTTGGATCGTCTCTTTAAAGAAGGAGATTTTTTGAGAATTGATCAGATATTCCGTCGAATAATCAGATTTTAATTGCTTGCCTTGTGCTTGCTATTTAGTTTTGTGCTTTATGTTTGCTTCTTGAATGATTTTAATAAATCATTTTGATTGAAGTTCTACTTTGAATTCGATTGATCATGAATTGAAGTCAACTTTAGTGGTGGGAAACAGATGTTTGAAAGAGTGAAAAAACGAGATGCGAGTAAGAAACACAAAAAAAACTATAATAACAGAAATAGTTTATCATTGATTCGCATGAATAATAGTTCTTCTTCAATGTCATAATACCTCTTGAATCGAGTCGTGTTGATTGTTAGACAGAATATCTTCGTGGGACGAACAACCGATAAGCAAAGAATTTAACTCTACCATTAGCTACGCACACCTTATTGCATTCGAATTTCAGAAGGGCCAAGTAAAACAATCCTACGATATAAAAGAATGAGAGAAAATGGAGCAAATGGAAACGGAAAAGTTAAAATGAAATAAAATGGTCGATTCTCAGCTCATCAGAAAAAAAAAGAGCTATGAATTTCGAGCTGAATATCGCGAGCCCGGTGACCGGAGTAAATAGACAATGGAAACGAGAAGCTGCCATAGACCAGTGACTGACAAATATGTGTTCATTGTGGGGTACAAGGCGCTAGTAGTTTGCCATGAAAATTCGTCATGATCATACATTTAGTTTTCATGAACTTTTTTTGCAAAATTGCCAAATTGGTCTTGATTCTTAAATATATGGTGTTTGATTGGGTTGAGTTTGGGTCACAAAATGGTGCATCATAATACCCACATGGGTGGCACTTTAACTCAACAGAAAAACGCAGTGTGCAAATAGGTTGTGCATCATCACCATTTCGTATATTGCAAAATTTCTTATAATCGTTAGCCGCTGCTAATCATATGGCGAATGTTCGTTGGTTTTTGATTATTGCTGATCACATTTTGATCACAATTGCAACCTAAATCCAAATATTCGCCGATGTTTGCTAACGGTCCATCTGAATTTGAACTGAGTATTGAATAACAAATGTTTGGTTGTATGTTAAAAGCGTTACTATAGATACCAATGTGTACGCTTTATGCAAAATTGTAACCTTGGCTACTTACTATGGCATTTATTAGATCGGTCAATATAAAACGCTCACTCAGCTCTTTTAACAATGACTTATTTTCGAAATGTGCAATGATGAGCGAATGCTCAGGATGATTCTACTCGGTAATTTTTGATGCATTTTCGTTTTGATGCGAGCAAAAAGTGTTTATTGTTAATCGTTGTAGTTTTGAGTCGAAACAATATCGAAAAAACTGAAATCTAATCAAAACAAGCCTTTCATCGATATGACTTCAATTTCATTCTGTAAGCAGTGCGTGAATTCAGTTATCATTGTTCCTTAAAATCACTTCGAAACGCATCGCACTCTTTTTAAAGGATCATCAGGATGCGGCAAAACAACAATAGCGAACATCTTGACGGCTAACTATAATTTCACGACCAAAGATTATAAAATGGTAAGAGTGCTCTTGAAATTCATGAATGAGGTTAAAAAGTGCAATGAAATCTATTATGTCTTAACGATAACTATGGTATCTATTCAATTGAGAATTAACATTTTGTACAGTTTCAACATTTGTGACATTGAATGTGATATCTCAAATGGGTTCTTAGTTACTGAGAAAACTTTTTAAGAAGAAATATTCACCGAATTTCTGATTTGTTATACAAGAATCCGATAAAAATTATACGGATGAATGTTAGTTGTTGATAAAATTATATGTTGATAAACGTACTGTAGAAATGTGCTGTTTATGATGGTTTTATTATTGATAGACACAAGGCGTCGATTTGTTCGAGAAGAAATTCGTTATTGGTGAAGATCAACGAGTGATGAATGTGATTCTGATTGACACCAGTGGACATCCACTTTATTCATGGATTGTCGATCGTTTCATTGGCCAAACAGAAAAGACTCAGATATTCTTGTTTTGTTTCGATTTCACCAACCGGCAAAGCTTCGACTCACTTGCGAATCTCATTAGTACTGTTACTTCATCGAACCCAAACACATGTAAGTTTTTGTTGAGTTTATGCAGCGAATTGATAAACATTAGATGAAACGAAGAAAACATTGCTCAAAATAATATCTGCAACATTCTCATGGATGAATACATACATTGATCGTGACCATACTTGCTGTTAAGGAAAGTTTTTTTTTCGAAATAGCTCAATCACATGGACATGAAGTGTTGATTGTCGTTGCGAATATAAACAAACGGTTTAATTTTAAAATTGAATGCAAGCAAACACCTTCAGCAGGAGTTATTGTTGGCTGCAAATCAGATTTGCTCAATCGTCAGGTCGTAACAAACGATATGGCTAAAGAATTTGCGACAACTAATAAGATGAAATTAATTTCCACATCAACGGTGAACGGTTTTTCTTTTTAAACTCAACCCATCAAGAATTGTTCTAACTAGGTTTACCACTTCTCATACTTCCTTCTCATAGGCATTTTTCGGTTGTTGAAGTTCCATTGTAATAAACTCACTTTTTTCATACCAAAAATGTTCGAATGCTTTGTTCATGTTCACATTTTTAGATTCTAAAGTTTACTGTATAGTTAAGTCGATATTTTCAGGTAAGAATGTTTCGTCCCAAATTTTTTACATGAACTGAGAAAAAATGAACTTGTTAGAAACGTTTTCATAGACGACATTTGTTGAGATCGGGAAATGCAGCATTCTGTTCGCTATTCCTGCCGTACTTGCTCTTTGAGATAAAAATTCAGAGAGAAATCATTTGAAAGTTCGATTTTTGATGTTGATCCACTTGCGAGTTATACGCTTTATGAATAACGGTATATGTGAATGATTCGACAAAGAAATCAATGAATCATTCGATAAGTTTAAATGAAGTAAGAAGCGAGTGAGAACTGTGATCGTTTCAGAGAATGACAACTGCCGAGATGGAAGCTGTTTTCCGTGACATTATTGCTGACAGCTGCTCGTCGTAATACTCAACGAAGGTGCCTATACACTGATTATTGCTTGCATCACTCTTGAAACTTTTATTCTCGAAAGTATTTCTTCCATTTTCAAGAAATACCTAGACGGTAGCCCAAAAATGGCATCTCTTCTAGTGGTCCTTCCATGTGCTTCAACGAAAACAGATATCAGTTAAATTTTTTTTTCAGTTTCACATGCATTCATTCACTCGAAATTGTTTTAGTATATGTTGGTTAATTTGATTGAAGTAGCGTCGGAATCGGAGCAAACTTAAATATTTTATTTAATGACATCGAATAAGAAAAATGAATAACACCATGTCCAATAAAACTGGATGTTCTTCTGAAGTATCCAAGCCTACCAATTTACGCTTGATGTGCATGTAATTTCATCTACGTTTTGTCCTGTCACCAATAACAATGAATATGCAACATATATGACAACTAAGCGCAACAAGACGTATTATTGGAGATCAATTCAAAGCAATAAAATATTTATTCACTTCTACTGAATGTATAAAAACTTTGTAAATAGTTAATAAAACTCATTGACAGTACAAATTTGAACGATATCTACAGAACGATGGACACGAACAAATAATTTCTGGCAAGAACAGAACACTTCCATGAGGCTGCTGCCTATTTCATTAAGCAAAGTTTAAAGTACCACTAGCTGTAAGTTTTGATTTAATTTTCTGAAGCAGCAAAGACACGAAGTATTTTGTAATATTGGTGCTAACAATAACTTTGGGTACTAGCTGTTTGCTCGCCAATGTTGCATAAATAATAATAATTCATTCATTTCAAATACAGTGCTACTGTTCAAGCACTGCTGCTTTTTTTCCAGTGAACGTCTGTCCTTCAGAAATTACTCCAGATGAGGAACGATGAGAAGTATAGCTAACAGCATAATAAGCATAACAAGTGCCGACTGACATGACCCGCATGTCAAAAGCTTATGACGTGTTGCTGGTAGTTGAATGGAAATATTGCTCGATGATGAGCACATTAAAGCTTTATTGAGCAATCTTATCACACCGATATTATTCTTTTTGTTTCAATCATCTCTTTTTCGCATCTTTCCTACAAAATAGTCATCATCTATGGTTCATTCACTAAATTATCCTCTTATAAATGCATCACACATTATTCCAATACCTTTTCACTCCTTCGTTTTTTCCTATGTAGAGAGACTTTCTTTCGAATCACATTCTAAATCTAAGTGCAAATTTCCAATAACTGTGCACTCTACTTTGTGAACATTAACCAAAATATCGCTGGATTGTTTATGAAATTGCGACAAATAAACGGTTGCATCGAAGAGAAAGGAGAATGGTCGAGAAGCTAAAAGAAAACGAATGCAAAGATTTAAAATTCACTCTACCGAGCCTGTAGTATTAATTGATGCATCTCTGAAAAAAGTTCATCCAAGCCATCACCAGTGACTGCACAACAAGGCAGTAAACGTGTAGGCCTTTTGCCGATTCCTTGAGCGATCGACTGATTCACTTCAATGTCAGTGCGTGCTTCGGGTAAATCTTGTTTGTTAGCCAATAAAATGACGGGTATTGTTGACGGAAAATCGGGTGAACGCAGCAAATTGGCTAATTCCACATGTGCTTCTTCGAAGCTGCAAGTATCCACAATAGTACCGTAAAATCTAATAATTAAACTCATCATAAGATTTGGTGCAATCAAACATATTACTAAAATGATTCCAGTAATAATTTATCCAGCAAAATTTCAGATGGAGTTTAAAAATGGAAATACACTTCAGTGATGAAAGCCTCAAACGGAGCTGAGCAGTAGCAATATTGTGAAGAGATAAATTCACAATAAGAGAACTAAATGAATACCGTTCACGATCTGTTGAATCAATCACAAAGACAAGTGCATCCGCTTGCCTCACATAAGTTCTCCACAAAGGACGTAACTTCTCTTGACCGCCAACATCCCAAACAACAAACGTTTGACCTTTCGCCGGACCGCTCGCAGGACGGAACTGAAAAACAATACAAATAGTAGTGCTCATTTCTTCATACTAGAATAATCAATCGTTCTTTTATGATTGTAACGAAGTCTTTCACCAAAAACTGATCACTGACTTTTTCACAGTTGAAGCCAACGGTAGGAGCTTGTTGCACAAAATGTTGCATCTTAAGGCGATAAATTATAGTGGATTTGCCAGCATTATCCAATCCTAACATTGCCACCTGATAACTTTGGTTGTCGAATAAGGAAAGCTTTTGACCCATACGATTTATATGTCGTCTATTTATGAATATATGCTAATTAATGAAGATATACCACATGCTGCAGATGAAAATATATATCATTCATTTAAATTCACTTAAACGTATACAGCAATTTGTATGATGATGAGTAGTCGGTTTGGTGAATTTACAATTAATATGTTGACTGCATTTTGAGTATGCAGCATAAATGGATGAACGAGGCAAGTCTTACAGTGAATATCGATGAAATATAAATAATTGCGTTGAATCGCTTAAAAGGCAGTGCTCTGATCAGTCCTATCGAAGATGGTTTCTTTTGATTATCATAAGTAGCAACATGCAACGATAACAGCACCGAGTAAATTATTAATAATGGTTGAAGTACGGAATAGATTTATTGCAGAAAGAAATATTGGACAGCAAAATTGATGTTAAGATGTTGGGAACGGTTGTTCAAAATGGCTGGTGTTATAAGAGAAATACTCAAATATAATAGATTGGTGACTGCTGAAATTGTTTTGATTGTGCTTGATGCACAACAACGCTCATTGCATTGCATACGCACCAACCCCTTCTTTGGTGTGGCTCGCAACCAACCCACTACTTCTTCTATATATATATACACATATAGTTGGTGTCCGCGATATTTATTGTCCGTCAGTCTCTCGCTCGCTATTGTTCGTATTGATTTCATGTGTGTCGTCATGCTGAGATGGGATTAATGGATGGATGCAGTACGGTTTCCGACAATCTACACTCGTTTATGAATGAATGAATGGGAAATGAATCAAATTGAAAGATCTCCTAGAATCCGCACAGTAAGCAGTAATAGTAACAGTCATTCGGATTGCAACATTCGTTGCTTATTGAACAAAATGAGCTGACGTGCATGCCTTGAGTAGTGGCATTTGTTTGGATGAAAACAGTCATCGTAAGGTCGTAATCAAAGAATAAAACGATAGTTAGTATCAAGAAAAACGACGAATCAAATGATCAAAGAGCGTTCGAAGCTAGTGACAGTTAAGAGGAAATAAGCAGCTTTATTTGAGCACAGTTGTTATTTATACATTTGTGTCTTCTGGGTAGTGTAATACAAATAAAATCAACCATTCAAAATCTCAATATAACAATCGTTAATCGAGTACGTTGCAATTATCCTTATCATCGCACGAAGTATCACTGATATTACACTTATGTTGATGAATCACCGAAATGAGTAGAACAATATTTTGTTCACTCATGAATCCCTAACAACAGGTATTCAGTTTCGATCTGTTTACTTCCAAAATGTGATCAATTTTTGGTGGTAAGCTGCATTTTTGGAATTAAAATCTGAAAGAAAATCAAGCATTTTAAGTGGTACTGTAATCGGAATGATCGCAAAGTGGCACTGATCTTTCAAAAGTTCAGCTATTGCTTTGTTTCGTCAACCTAAAGGATTAAGTTTAACAGTGCAGTTGTGAGTCAGTAGCACCGTCAATGATTGGAACTGATGAACGCTGAATGATAAGTCGTTTGTGCATGCAGTAACGGTTTTATTTGTTCTCCTTCCCTTTAGCCGAAGTCACAAATTCCTAATCGACAATTTTCTTCTCGGATCACAATGATTCTGTAATATTTCGAGATGTGTCTGTGCAGATCTGCATCCCTAGAGAGATATTAATTGCCAGTATTATCAAATACTCTTTATGTAACTTTTAGACATCAACTCGAAATGCAATTTGATCCAGTTTTAACTTGTTCATAAAGTTTATCTTCTTGATAAGTGCTGCTCTTCATCAATCTCTACATCTATCGATTCTGAATTTGTAAGCAGCCAGCAAACTACTCCTCAAGGACTGTCCTCTATCAAAAGCATCACTTGCAAATTCCCTTGCGTATTACAAACGTGTCCTTACATCACTTTTATGCGGAAAATTCTGTCGTATACACAGACTGCACTTCCTTGAACAATTCGTTTCTTCTCTCTTCCTTAAAATAGATCTCTTCCCTGAGTGGATCTATCATGAACAAATTTGGAAATATTATTCCCCTTTGTCGACCCCTCGTCTTGCAAAACTTTCGTAACTCGTACACTCGAGTCGTACATAAATCCATGATTTTACACTGAAGTATGCATAAAACGGTTCTTGAGACCGATTTGAATGATTGGCTTATTCAGCAGTCTTATTTGCATGTTCACTAACCTCTTCTCCGTGAAAATTTACGTATCTTTGATCGCTTTTCTGCTAAATTTGGAAAAGTCTTATGCTTCAGGATCCGCAACCAATAAACTACGGTATGCATAACGTTATCAGAGATGGCACGATGGTAAGCGATGATTGGTGTTTAATGCTTATCACTGTATGATTGATTCGTTGAGTTTTTAAACTTCCGTTGAATATAACTATTTGTTTCCAGTTTTATAGACTCTTGATATTTCAAAATATTCCAGAGATGTTTCGGCTCTTAAGGTCAGGTCTCAAAAACGGTGTTCAAAAATTTTTACGAAAGGCAGTCAAAAAACATTTGCCTAGCTACTTGCCATATCATTCTCCCTTCATATTGTTTTTTTTTTTCAAAAATTGCCATTGACTATCGATTCGAACTGAATGATGCATTGTTGGACTCGCAAACAACAAAGAAACATGAAACAAATCCGCTTTTTTAAAAGTGATCATGGTGTATCAGTATATAGTTATCCGGGTGGTATGCTACTTGTCTATGAAAATGACATATTGAGATGATAAAAAACGATCGAATTGCATGCAATTTCGGTATGATTAAGAAAATAAAGCGAAGTATGTCAGTTGGTATTATTTGCGTTATGTTCGATATGTATAATATATAATTGTTGTGATGTGCCATTTTGAATCGATGTGCATTAGTAAAGCAGTAAGCGAGTGTATGTTTTCATTTATATGTGTGTGTGTATATTATTGTTGTATGCTTATGTATATATAACGTAAATATGCGCTGGCTGCAGTATAATAATGCGTTGTTGGTGTTGTATAAGATGCTGATGACGAGATAAGATTTAATGTGAAGAGATAGCTAGATAGATAAATCTGTATTGTAGAATGCGTGCTGTTGGTTATTTGTATTGGTACTATGATGAGTGTTTCTTTTGTGTGCTCTAATTATTTGAGTAATTTTTTACTGTTTATGAACTCTTTATTGACTGAGTGTGATGCAGATTGTTTAGTGCTATTCGCTTCATCCTAATGCATACTAGAAGAGTTGATATTTTGGGGCGTTTTTTTTCCTAATGAAATCAACGAAATTTATTTTCAAAAAAGCACGCTTATTCGAGAATGCAAATTTTTAAAGAGAAAGAAATGGTTTAATTTCGATATTATTACCACTTGGTGAGACAGTTCGTTTATTCACTCACTATCAGTAGTCACTCGGTTGATTGTAATAACTTAAATAATACTTTATTTAGTAATGATAATTTAAATAATAATTACTGTTACAAATAACAATTTAAACGACGACACTGATTCGACTGCAAATAGTTGATTTTGTTTTGTTCTTAAACCGTCTCTCGCACATATTTTGCTGTATTTGAACAAGACGACAATCATTGAGGAGAGCGGAAAAGGATAAACGTTTCTTATGACAGTTGGATGATTGATTTTTTAGTTATTAGTTGTTTGCATTCGATTTGTATTGATCGGCTGGTAAATCGCGTGCAAGTGAGTATCTATCCAGCTGTTGTTTACAATCATTTGTTCTGTAACAATTAGTTCGTTCTGGAGTTCTTGAAATTGACGTGTTTAAAGATTCGCAACATCGTTATATTGTTCGAGAGAGGACAGCTAAACGGCCAGTGATTTGCTCACGTTCATTCACATTCGTTCATCCGTTAGTCACGGTCTTCGGTAGTAACCTGGCTTCAGTTGTTGCTTTTAGTTTCAGTAATGAGTAGAATAGTAAAGCTAACATAAAATAATCGAATAACAAACGCATACGATACGTTACTCAATTAAAAATTTTCGTTCATCTGAATCGGTGGCGTTTTTGCAAATTGACGGCATTGAAACAATTAGAGAGAATGGGGTGAGAATGAAGAGCGAATGTGTGCAAACGAACTCAACATTCCATTATTCTGTTTGCGTTCACTTGAAAAGAGAAGTTTTTGAAAAAGCAGTGCAAACGATGTGTCCTTTAAGCATGTGGCTATGAATTTGATTGAAAATCTTTGATTTGAATAATCATTTTAAAGGCGTTTTCATTGCAAAGTGAGTATTTTTAGCGGAATACTTCCTCAATTTCCTCTTCTCACCAACCTCTTTTCAGCACATTATCAGTTAAATGTCAAAACTTCACAATACAAAACAGCATTACTCTAAATTTTTTGAGTAGTGTTGTATTGTTTTACTCATCGAATCCATTGCCTTTGCTACCAATACAACCTCTGACCATGTGGCCCTACTATTATACCGTTTCCTCCTCCCCTAACATCATATTACTTTGTAATGGGCTCTTAACAACCAAAAACTTGTGACGTTTATTTGCTAGCTTTATCGGTTCTTCTCTAACACGTTGAAGATTCTTTAAGGCAGGCATCGGCAACCCCCGGCCCGCGGACCAAAATTGGCCCGTCAACAATATTTTTTGGCCCGCCAGATGAATTTGATTTTAAAGGGGTAAAAAAAGAATAGGAGAAAGGTTTCAAATTATTTAGCCAGTACACTGAAGATTTTCGATACAGAATTTCCTTATAGACAATTAACTGTGTAGCCGACACATTAATTTTCTCTTCATTAATGTAAATATATATATATATATATATATATAT